AGTTTAATCATGATTGCTTAATTGTCATCACCACAAAGCTCAATCACTACTGATTCTGTGAAACCATCCAATGCAGATCAGTTTATAAGAATCGCCAGATTGAGAACTGGAGGGTTTGTGGCGTAGGTGAATGTAGGTGAATGTGACGGTTGTGGTGAGTTGAAACGGCTGTACATGGCTGTCTCGAGGGTATCCAGCGAACGTATTGTGAACGTATTGCAAACCCAATTCGCGATTGGAGAAAGTTGCGGACTCTGTCACCGCAACTTTCCTCAATCAAGTTTCACACTCATTGATTCCCGCGGTGTCAAGCTTCTCCCTATCAAGTCAAGTTTGTCGTTATGTTTGGATCCAAACGATATATACAACACCTTTGTACTCAGAAACTTTTCATTCAAATTGCTATTTCAATGTGCTCAGTGTGACGTATTGGCCGAGGCAAAGACAATCTGGATCAAGAAACTCAACCTTATTTCCCTATATCTAACATGTTCCTGGCAGGTATACAATTTTTCTTGGACGTGATTTGCATCCTTCGTACAACTAGAGCTTCATAACAAGGGTTTTTCAAGCAGAAAAAATGATTTTGGCTCGTTGTATCCTGATTTGTATTCTTGTTTTTGTTGCAGACTGGATACTTTTTCTCTTAAGCTCCTGATGTTAAATGATGAGATTATGGCTATGGTATATACCGATGACACCTCACCTGGGATACATTTCCACATGGTCATCCCAAATGGGACTTGTTGTTCCAGATTGCAGAAAATCAAGATATCTTGACATGAGTGTAAGGCTGATAAAGATGTTGCCTTTAAATTCAATGTAAATCAAAACATGGTCCAAGTATGAAAGGAGGGACATGGCTAGAGATGTGTGAGCCTTTCTTTCAATTGACCGATGAGAGTTTGAAACAAAAGACAGAGCTGATGCTTCCTTGCTTGCAAGGAAATCCTACATCCTTTTTCAAGGGGTGTTTCCATTCTATAGATCAACATAGTCAAAGTTCTTTCTGTCCCCAGCGTTGTGCACTCTCACGACCTATTGATAAATTAACTCCAAACAATATCACTACCATAGCCAAGCCTGCGAAGCCAAGGAGTAAAGGGAAGCCTGTGTATCAAGTTTTGTCAGTGCAGTGTTGATTTAGAGCAAGTTGTCAAACCTTCAAGGCCTACCTGACCAGTTGGAGCCAGTATGATTTATGATAGCCTGAATGATACTTGGACCAATCAATGAAGAAGCTCTATTTGAGAACCCATACAGGCTAAAAAACTGATTGAAAGCAAGTATCAGATCATAGGTACACTATTGAGATAATTTAGTGGTGAGATACAAACCATCTTTTCGTGTCCAGGCGGTGTTAGCTCAGCAATCATTGTTCTACATATGTTTTGTACGCAAGTGAGTTAATTGGCAGCAAGCTATTTATTCTGGCAGGAACAACTCACACGGAGTATGCATAATATGGTGTTTGAAAAACAGCAACAAAGAAATTATACATCCAGAACTCCCAGCTTATCAAAAGAATTGTAAGTCAGTATGGATTCATCAAAGAGATATCTAGGCCCGCAGATAAGCACCGATTGTGAAATCCGATCTTGTCCGTGAAGATTCCCAATGTACCCCAAAGAGGGATTATGACCGTTGCAACCGTAGCCGCGGTAAACTGAAATCACGCCAGAGTGGAATCACTTCAGAGACAGAATTTGGGAGTGATTCTGTCTTGAGATGTGAACACGCACCATCTGCTTTGTTTTGAGATTGAAATGGCTTTGTATGTACCACCATACCCACACGGAAATCACAGATGTTCCAGCTTGAGCAAGATTTAGGTACTACAGGGCAGATGCAAGATATGTTACATTCAAAACCTCAGCAAACGCCCCTAGGTGAATAGAGAATGAGGAACTGAGCCGACCGTCAACAGAAGAGGACTGAAATTCACTGCTTCTCCCTGGACTATATAGATCAAGGTGGTGGTGGTATTCACTCTGCAAGAAAACAAAAGTCATCAAAATTAAGATTGACATGTTTCGGCAAAGATCTTACCCATCAGCCAGGAGGAAAGAAGCCACAAGGTAGAGAAAGGTTTGAGGAAGCTGTCGACACCCTTTGAGAGCACGATATAACGTCCATACACCAATTGTAATGTAAGATTGCCTTTCGGGTAATGGCAAACCCGGGCGCTTCTTCTGGAACACGAACCACCAAATACCGACTAGAATTGAATAAAAAGAAGACTAAAAAGATTCAGATGAGTGAAGTCTCATCGGCGCATGATGAAAGTTGAGAGACACTGACAACTACAATTGTCCAGTTGGTCGTTAATCTTGCTGTAGCATTAAAAAATACGATAATTAAGCTTAACAAGAGTGTGAAGAATGATCCAATGTTGAAGTGTACAGAGCTGATCATCGACAATCGATTTTTTTCAAGACTTAATCGTTGATCATGTTCCTCTTGTTTTATAAGGCCCCTGTGAAATTCTTCGCGTGCTTTTCGTGCATCTGGCGTGTTGCGTGAAAGCCTGGGCAGGCATGCGGCAATGAAGACAAGCGCAGCGCCATCTAGTGGTAGATCGCACGCAGAATGAGGATGCCGTTAAGTTCTTCATGTAATGTGCAGATATACTTGAAGGGTTGAGAGTAACACACAGGTTGTGAATCCGATGATATACAGAGCCATGGCCGCTCTCCATTGTGAGGGATCAGTGACCCCGATTAGTCCCAGCTGAGTAGCCCACCAAACGCAACTCAAAAATAACAGAATCCACTGATCAAAGTCTCCATGATCGGCACATCCCCCAAATACGGTATAGATAAAAGTCATGATCTTGGAAAAGGAGGGTGAAATGTGGTAAATCAACTGAGTCCCGAAGGCTCTTCCGCTACCACGACCACTTACCGCAAATGAAATCGCATTGGCGATGAGGACTACACTGTTCACACTCGTGGCGCGGTGACTTCCACCGAAATGAATCACACATTGTCCCGCAATAGTGCATCTTGAGCTGGGGCCTCCTTTGGGGTCGAAGCTGGCCGCATTCGCCAAGGATTGGAACAATGTTAAACTATATCTCGTTGGACCTATCCCGTCTTAAAAAAAAGAGAAGGTGGACACCCGAGACCAAGGCTGATGTAAATCACCCGAACACCCACCGATTTCTTGGACCATGTATGCGGTTGTTGTTCCACGTTGACATTTCCAAAGACATGATAACTCACTCGTAGAATTAGAGTCTGCCAGGTGAAGGTGCAGGTTAGTGCGCGAAAGTCGCCGGATAAAATTTCAATCACCAAGTCACGGGAGGGAAGAGTGGTACCAGTGCTCACACAGATAATATGAATGCAATTCTCGTCTCGTTACCACAGATTCCTCCGCTCCTTGGTGTCCCGCTTTGAGCCCGCTCTCAGAGTCCTCAGGGCGATGTACCACTTGAAAGGAATTCGAACGCCGAAGTCAGTGTGACGCAATCAGAGGTAAAAATTGAGATATGGTACATTTGTCCTCTACGAAGGCCAGATTCGAAGCGGGTGTGTCCGAAGACTTGGATTGGGTTAGTTTCCATGCTGTGTGTTTGCGTGATTATAGATTTTTGACACTGGACTTTATGTAGACAGCGTACTTCAGGTGGAGTCGATGGAGTCCACAGAAGTGAGCCTTCAAACCGACCTGGGATAATACAGCAGGCAGCTAAATTGAATAAATAAATCTGAAGATGCCTCTGATGTGCAAAGATGGATTGATAGACGAGAGATACGCTTGTCGGGAAACTTGACTAGTCTGTGATCGGCCCGGGTATGAAGCAGTGGTCAATATTGGGTCGATTGGGAACCCTGTCAGCATAAGAAATCTAGAAACAAGCCGCCGAGAAGAGTACATAAATTGTACCAGAAATTCCTGAATGACTTCGCCACCATCCAAATAGAGCCTACAATAAGTGAGGTAAATGGGCCCTATAACATACTGAACTATAATCAAGCTCGTCGCTTGCAGGAATGCGATATTTTTGCCGGTTTTCTGAAAGATCAGCTTGTATAAGCACAGCATACATAAAGTCTACATGCATAGTCTCCGTGTCTCCTAAGTTTAACCATACGAGGCTGTGATTTGCCCCTTAGCCTTGATAGAACATTTTACATACTAACTAAACTTGTTTGAAGTTCAAAGTGGAAAATTTCATGAAGCAAACATCGCCATCCTGTTGATTTGGCTGTGCAAGGGCCCTTTTCATCATGAACTTGCGATCTTTTCTCAATTCAGCCTTCTCCATGGCCTAGGTGGGCTTCTACGTGCAGGTCGATGTAGCTACGTCGCAAGTCATGTGAACTGGCATTCCACACAAATTAGATCCGACCCACTAGCAACTCTTTGACTCGGACGTGGCATGATGTTCGAAACAAATAACATTCCAATGAAGGAAAAGATATCCACCTGTTTGTGACATGTTAATATACAGAGGAGAGCAATTAAATACACAGTCCATGTTCAAGCTGTTCACAAAACTGAGACCTTCAGGCCAAAATAATTGACGACGGTACTAACTGTAAACTGACATTGCGTACAAATATCACATTCTTATCCAAAAGAAACAAAAAAATGAACAACACGAAGTTCATGTAGAGTATCGTACAAATTAAACCATACTAAAAATAAGTTCTTGTTTCTCGCCAGCTTTCATATCAAATATCTGTTCATGAGCCGCATGTATTGAGCAGCCGGGCCATCCTCATGGTCGAAATCGACTTAAGGAAAGAAGGTATTATTCCTGGGGATATGTGTAAATTCACCTAGTCGGCTGGAGATATGATTTCCACTTTCACTCATCCACCCGGCCCTTTCTCCTGCTGTCTTCCTTCTTCTTGGGCCCTAGAAATCCTTTACAGACCTTAGATCCACAATGACAACGTTGGATTGTAGGGGCAGTCGCTGTTGTCATCTCTTCCTGGTCTTCATTTGCCGCGTCTGATTCTTTGTGAGAGGTGCGGATGTTCGAAGTAGGTGCAATATCACTGAAGTTCTGAGGGCACGGTTTGTATCAACTTACGAATTCAGCAAAAGAAATGCGGGTTTTTGCTTACTTGCCAGCCATAATTATAAGAAAGCTCTTCATCGATTTCAATATCTCGTAAAGTGAATAAACCGATTTGGTATTCCTCTAACCCTGAGAGTTTGAATCTTTCAACTCGCAAATTGGGTTCACACGAGTGGTTGATGAATCTTGAACAATTCCCCTTCTTGCCCGCATCAATCACATCCGATCCATCGTCTACAATCGAAGGGAAAAGGGGAAAAGGTTGAGAAAATAGTGAAGATGAGAAGATGAGATACCCGCAAGACTCACAATCCAAAAAGTAAAAACTGCTCATTCCTCTGTAATCATTCACTACCCTTTTATAACAACTCTCTCTTGAGATGATTTCACCACGATAGTCAATCAAAAATATTCCGGCTTTCAATCTGATCTCAGTCTTGAGTCCCCATCCCCTTTGGTCTCCTGTATAAAAGACCTTCAACCCTTTTCCTAATTTTTGCGTCGATTCGTCAATTAGATCCTTTCGCAGGTTCAACGGTATGTTTGTACAGGATTGGCCAAGGCTACATCTTTTTGGATCGCACAGATAGGATGTCACTCTGAAAGTGTGAGTAAGAATCAACATCCCATGTTAGTCGTTCTTGTCAATAGGCAGGTGGATCGAGGAAAACATATGGGTCTTACCGATTCAAACACTTTTCTCCGCATCCTCCGTCGGTGCATCCACAGATAGCCGGTGGTAGGTCGCTGACCTCTGGCTTCCGGTACGAGTAAACATTTGATTTAATCTTCACATATGGAGGTGGCAGCCGTTGTTCATCTTCGTCCTCCTCTTCATCGTCCAACATTTGTGTTGATGCATCGGGACGTGAGATACGACGACGGCGATGACGGCGATGAATCTTAAGTTTTGGCGGTCTTGGCTTATTGGAGGCCCTAGCAGTAGAAGTCGGACGACGAACCGTTCGAACAAGTGAATTAGGTAAACATTCATCCTCAAGTTCAGATTCGGAGTAAGCGGATGAGGATTGCGGACAATGATCGTCCTCGTCTGAAAGATCAGTCAGCGAAGAGGAAAGTTCAGTGAGATCTGAGGAGTGGTCAGAATAGTGTTTGGTGGTTGATGACGGGGCGCCTGGACTAGCATTACGTTGAAATGAAACATGGTCGGGGGCAGGTTGCATTAAGCTCAGGTCAGAGGTAAATGTAGCGGAAGGGGCGTCACGTTTGCGATGATTGTGATGGTATCGTGTTAGCTTGGATTGAGTGCCTTCTTGAATCAATTTCAGGTCACCCGCTATATTATATAAACGTAAGAATCAGTTTAGGAAAACTTGCAAATATTGACTTGCAAAGACAGACACACCGACTTCAGCCCCATCGGTTTGAATTCCTTTAAGCGCTTCCCATGGTCTGAATCTTTTGGTAGGTATGATGGAGAGTGCAATTTGAGGCGGGTGAGATGAAGAGGCAGATGGCTCAACCGCAACAGGGTCTCCGAGTTGAGTATTGATCAGCTCCTGGTTTTCAGTAGCAGTGTGATGATGATTATCAACTCGTATTGAGGTTCTCGTGGATTGAGCCACACCAAGTTCATCTGATTCAGGGACCGATAAAAGTGGCGGCGATGAAAGCACTTGATGTGCATTAGAGGGTGGTACTGAGAGCGTTGTAGGTTCCTGTAGAGTCGAGGTAGGAGAAATTGGATTGACTAGTGAGGTTGAAGGTGAACTAGGTTTATGGCTGGCATTGAGGACTTCACATGATACAGGAGGGGAAGTCTTGAGAGTAGAGGATGATGGTTTGCTCGGTTCGTCAAGGGCAGATGAAGTGGTTTGAGAGTTTTGATTGATGATTTGATTCGAAGTAACGGATGAACTCTTTCGTGAACGACGAGTGGGAGGATATTGCGGTTCTTTATTTCCGATACTGACGCTATTATTGCTGATGACGCTCTTACTACGTTCTTTTCTTGTGGTTATGGTTGAATTTGAAGCCGCGTTTGTAGTGCTCGTCTTGGTCTTGTCCTGTTTCTCTTTCAAGAGTTTTTCGAAACGTTTACTCATCCGACGACCGTCCTTGAAGACAGCAGTCTCAATTGGAACTTGACCTGCTGTCTTCCAAGGTGGAGAAGCAGGGTCGAATGGACAAGACCGGCGATGAGAGCTATGGTCAGCTGGTGCAGATTTAGTTGATTGTTCTTGTTCCTGATCGTTTCCTCCATCTTGATCGACGTAGATCCATCTACCAGGCCTCCACATGTTGATGATGATGGGAATGAGAGTTTGTGATGTTGAGAAGGTGACGATGATAAGAGAACGTTTGAATAGAAGTGACGTTAACCAAAGAAGTCACTGTGAGCAGGACAGTATATGAGCTGAGTAAGAAATTCAGCTGCATATAAGAGCGAGCTTTAGCGCCCGTTCGGAACCTTTTGCCCGAAACCCGACGACTGCGAACGAGTTAAAAACCGTTCACCCTTGTTCACCCTCTTAATGAATTATGAGACGCTTCACCAACTATCCAGTCTTTTGCTTATAGCTCGAGCACCATACATTGCATCCTCCGTTTTGCATATCAAAAGCCAAACCGATGGGAATTTCGAGTTTGCATCTTCTGGAGTCAGGATATTCTTTTTTGGAATAAACCAAACCATCAAACGTTTGATTATAGCTCATATCCCCCCGTTTAGATCCATTACCGTAAATCCAGGAGTTGTAGTACTAGTATTACTCAGAACTGCATTATGAATTCAAAGTGGCGTTGAGTGAATAAAATGATCATTAATTGGGAAACAAAACCTGAATGATAGTATTATCAAAGGACCATAGAGACCATGTTAAGTCTTGCATCGAGTAAAAGTACAGACTGACTTGAGATCAAATGACCATGGGTCAGGTTGTAACACAAGATGTCTTCTATCATGATGTTTTATTGTGTAAGGATATGTGTTACACAGACCTGTTTAGTGATCACTGCTTGAACAAAAAGCTCCTATTTATATTTCACTCCAGATATATACAACAGAGGTACAGAGAACCAGTGTCTACCAGTGTCCAATGAGATTTGTCACTTGAAGCATATCAAAGATCTGTAATCCTGTATCTTGGAGATTGAATTGGACGGCGCAAGCTTCAGGCTCCAGTACCCAGGTGGAGCTTATTTTTGACGCATTTGAGGCCAGTACGGGACCAAAAATCATTCAGCTTTAAATATTAGGAGGCAAAACAACGCAGGCTGTACATAATGACTATTCACAAAAGCATGGGAACTGGTGTTGCCAATTGAGTACCGCCTTCAGCGCACACGTCGCGCTCTCAACCTTTGGGTACTTGCAATTTGACCAGGAGTTGTGTTTTCAACATTTTGCGGATTCGCAGCACTACAGAGTGCCTGGTTTTCCGCTGGTAAGGTCATCTTCGCAATCTCGCTTGGCTGCATCACAATTACCCCGGCGAATCCTGCTGCAAGGTGAAACGAGATATGACAATGGAGAATCCAGACGCCCCTGCATTCATTCCAAAGAATGGTAATTAGCGGATGTTTTATAAGGCTAAGGACATCGCGCTGGATCTGAACCGGATGTTCACGAAACCCTATTCAAAGTCAGTTAGTCCCGAAGAAGGCTACTCACGGATTGTATGCCGGAACGCGTACTGGATCAAAATGTTTTTGGTAAGGATATGATTCACTAGATAAATATATACAAATGAAACGGCTAATCAACTCACCGACGATGTAGCTTCCTCCACGGACAACCATAGTATCGCGCCTCATTGGATTTGAAGTTCGATATTGCAATTTCTGTGCCTGCGAATCAGTCAATTGACCGGAACCCTGCGCCACGATGGACGAATCCACACCATCTAGGAGATCAACTCATCTCGTCAGCTCGCCTAACGATTGGCTCATCCAGTAAACAGTTCACTCACGAAGATGATAGACGTGATCAACTGAGGCGTTTCAAGGCATACAAGTCAGACAGCTTCTATCGAGGGAAAAATCACATAAAAAGATGCTCACTACCGCTATCCAAGTTGTTGATCACGATGTCGTAAGTGCCTTGGGTGGAAAGCGTGAGAGCAGTAATTTGAGAGCTGTTGACGGTTTGTGAACCTCCACTGAGAAATTGTTGAAGGAGGGGCTTGTAAACAAAAGCTAACGAATGCGCGCGAGTCTCTATCAGTATTGAACTTTCTCAACATGGAGATAGAACTCACTAGTCCAGGTCGTATTGTCGACAAAGAACCGTCCCAAAGCCTGTGAATTCTGCGGGTTACTGGGATTTGGAGTCATGACGATTCCAAAACTTGATTCATAAAATACCTAGAGGCATCAAGAGAATCAGCCTCGTTTAACTGTGCAGGCTCATATATGTCCAATAGAGAGGTATGGAGACTTACTCTACCTATCACATTTGTTTCTGGATCCTTAGATAATAAAGGTGAGAGAGTGTCGGGATCCAGGTCAATACAGGCACCGTGTGTGGCGTTCACATCCGGCCAATCTTGAGTCATTGGAAGTTGAGAGGGTAGCTGTGCTGACGAAGAATTCGAAGAACTCGCTGATGTGACTACGTGGATTATAGCCAGTGCTGTGTTTCCTTCTGTGGTGTTGATACCGGGCGCGAGCCATGCAAAGCAGTCAGTATCCATCGCAGCCCTAAGAAAGAAAGATGATCCGGCTTGATCCGAGGTGGTGTCCAAAATGACAGAATATCTCTGTCCATTGTGAAACTGGAGACGGGCGCGATAGAGTGGTTTTCAGTCAGACTGGTACGTCATCTCTTCATGACGCAGAAATTTTACTTACTGGGACACGATGAACTGGCTGTGGGGCTTGGACGCCTGTAGAGTCAGCCTCCACAACAGTTAAGGGATGATTGTCAACAGAGACTCGAAACATGGCATGCGAGCCAGCTTGAATCAAGCGAAGTCTGGTTCGTTGTTTGGGTTCGACTTGTATCTGTAAGGGTCCCGTGTTGGGCCCACAAATATCGCCTGCATCCGCGTACTGGCAATTGAACTGTCCGACACCGTTTATCAAAGCTTTCCAGGGAATCGAAGTAAGATATTTCAGGATTCTGAAGTCCAAGAGGTCTTGGCGCGTAGGTGATTGATACTCACCGGAATTCGGGGAGGGTGCTGCAGTGGTGTTTTTGTAACCCGCCGCCGATAGCTGGCCGGCCAGGATCGCGGTGCTCTGACTAAGTACGCGGGTTTTTCAATTGCAGACCTAACTTTGCCAGATAAAGCCGCCACCTCAAGAAAACGAAAGACTTACTCGTGGAACCAATCACTGCCGCGTATAAAGAAGCAGAAGTCAGCAGTGATATATAAGCTAACATCTGAAAGTCCTTACGCAATGAAAACAATCATATCCCGGTTATAATTGACATCCCTTTTGAGAGGGTCACGCGGACTGTGAACTATAAGAGGTCCCGCTGATATAAAGGGTTTTGAAGTTCAGCAAGCAAGTACCGTAAATGATTGATAAGTTGTCGTACACACCAATTCCATCCGCATTCAAAGCTTGTGCGTGCGCCTGGGGATTTTTTTGAAAGATTGTCAGGCAAGAAGAATGGATACAACATGTGATTATAGCTTACGTGGTACCCTTACAAGATGAAAGAAAAAAATCAGTTATTGAATTACGCGGAGTTCAAGACACCATAGAGTATCAGAAGAAGGTATTCCATGTCTTCCGGTATGACGGCACTCACAATAAGTTCCAAACTGATCAGTGATGGTAAAAGTGTATCGAAATGATGTTCCAGCTGGGATGGCGCATTGGGTGACACCTTCATTTTCGGGGTAAGAGTTATTAGCAAGATTTCCTTCAGATATCTAATCGTTACTGACCTGTGACTCCATCCATCTAAAGTTGATTGAAGACGTTATCAGCTTATCGATATATCTTCAATGCACAAGGTTGGAATATACTCACCCATGGGGTGCCACGCTGGAACATTCCCTAGAGAGATCATCGTGCGTCAGTGATATCGTCTCAAAGGGCTTTTGCCCATTGGTCTAGAACAAATACCTACATGCCAATGTATTGAGACCTCGATGTTCAATTCATTTTTCACCAATACGCTGATTGTATCCCTATAGGGGTTTGAGACAAACACCGCGGCCAGGCCAGTCAATACGCGCACATCTACAAAGTGGGCATCAAGCGCTCACCCTTCGTTTGCCTATGGATTTTGATAAACTCTGGCGTCAGCAATTCTCTTTGATAGATCCTCTGGAAAGTGAAAATATTGACCTCAATCAAAGGCCCTGGGTATTGATTATTGATCACTAGCATGTTTCTGAGATAGAAGAGAAATAGATCATCAATAGAAGAATTAGGTTGCATGAAAACTTTTCAGGGAAGAGAAAAAGATACCTTTGAAAACCATCCGGCGCCCCAAGCTGGTTACTGGTGAAAGATAAGAGAATGGCTTCTAATGGGTCAATTGGCTAGCGCAATCCATCGGGTGTGTAACACGTGCACTGACCTGACGGTAAATGTGTAATTTCTGATTTGCGGTCCGGAATTGATATCGAAATTGGGCGACAGGACTAATTCTGAAGGATTGAACTGGATTTCCCCCAAGACGGCCACACTGAGTATGACGAGGAGAACGTAGAGAAATGTGAAGAACCCGAGGAACTGGGGCAGTGAGGCAGTTGAGAGCGGAAAAAACATGACAAAAACTATTAAGGATAGAAGGTTTTCAGACAGCTGGTTGATAGTATGTTGAGCTAGAGTATAGGAAAGCCGATGATTTCAGCACGTTAGGTTTGATTGTAAATATATTAATGGAAGAATTTTTAAAAAGGAGTGTAATGATCAATGATACAAAGCAAAACAATGCGGGAGGCTCCAACAGTAAAGTTAAGTATCACAAAACTTATCAATCAATTATCGTGAAAGAAATGAATGCTGATGGAGGAGGGTACAAGATTGCGGCGCTTCAGGCCTAGTCTTTATGTGGAGCAACTCGATCAATCTCGATGTATGGAACAAGCAGAGCCATCAAGGGTCTTACCGAATTCATACGGAGGTCTAGCATCATCCAACGTACCGGTAGTCAAGAGCAAAATTTTCGGGATGGATCGCATACATACAATCAGAACCTCTGACCCCTCAGGAGAACTGGCCTCAAAGACTGGAATTGTGATATTCAACGCCTGCAGCTAGGTGTTCTTTCGCCTCAGCTACCTAGATTCATGACAACTTGTGTCTTCCTCAGTTTTCGATTGGGGTTGAGGCAATCAGCAAACTGGATAAACCCATTGAAGACCTCTGCTCTCAGAAATTTTACAGACAGTCCGAATTAAGTGGTTGTAGAAATTTCTGATTGCCATCATGCCATAATATGTATGCATGTCTCGGAGAGCAAAGTTCATATCCAAACTTGACATTTAACTACAGAGACTGTTTGGAAAAGAAGACCTACATGCTCCATCTGACAGCCTTCATTGTGCATTGCACTGGCGTGACTAGCCTGTTCTCGAGTAGCACATTCATCCCTTCAGACCCGCGGAAGAGAGTTGCTCAGACGATCAGAGACCGAGTTCGCGTGATATATGCTTTCGATTTGTTAAACTTACTGCAACACTTTTTGACGACTTTTTGAAAGTCTCGCAGACATGTCTGGACATGAGCATTTTAGCGCAATCAACAGGCTGGTAGCCTTTACTTGACACCATATCCTACCATGCATCCTCTTTATACCAAAACATTTTCTTGGTTGTAGCAACCATTGTCATGTCAGACCCGTGGATGAACCCTTGGTTTGGCCGTTCGATTTTTTTGAGGAACAACTTGTTACGAAACTGAGGAGACCCTAACCAGATATTTGTGATGGAATGTATCTTCTTGTTATGGAGGCTGTAACTAATAACAGCCTTGGGTGGAACTTCAGCTGTTGTAGTGTTCTGTTTTAAACATCGCATGAATTTGATAATGCAATCCAGTGTTAATTATGGGTCATGATCCACAAGCCCATACAATTGACCTGGGAGAGTGAAAAAGACTGCTGTAGTCGTGCTCATAAATTTTGGCCTTGCAAACACCGTGAAGTGACCCCAACATATCTCCTTTCTTTCTCGGCATTGAATCCGATGTAATCCGAAACCAAAACCGGGTCGCCTTCGAGGCAGAATTCCAGTCAGGAAGACGGAATCAAACCCGTTTACAAGCTTCCAGACATCATGGGTTGAATTGGATCAGTTTTCTCTTTCCGCTTGTCAGATTCATCTCTTATTTTTCTCCAATTCATCATTTCCAAGGAGTAAGAATCCCCAGTCAATACGACATACGCTTGCCTACGGTTTCGTGTTATGTGGTCACAATCATACCCCCGAAGCTTTGCAAGTAGAGTCTCTTTATAAAGAGAATCAGGTGTGGGAGGTTCTTTGTCTGATAAGAACAATGATCATGAATCAGTCTTTAGATGAGACTGATGAGTGATTGAAAAGACATCCACATTCTAGAGACAAGCAGATTGTAAGGAAATATAATAATGAGTTCGATAAAAAAAGAGAACAAAAAGAGTGTACAACACTTGTTCTGATATATGAAAGAATCAAACACATTTGGATCACGTAATGATGCTATAAAGAAAGCATCCTCTATAATGCTCACTCAGATGTATGTGTCCTGCTCTGTAGCATGACGTCGCTACGCAAAATTCAATCCCCCCATCTTGCTAAAATCATGCAATCCTAAAGCACTGCAAAAACTGAGATGCTTGCAAGGTGAAAGAGCCTTGGTCATTATATCAGCTATCATGTCATTTGTAGGAACATACACTACCACTAGTTGCTTGTTCCTAACCAATTCGCACAATCAGTGATACTTGCTATCAACATGCTTGGTTCTTCTCTTAAACTTGTGTTTCTTTGATAATGCAATGGCGCCTTGATTATCTAACCTGAATACTGGTGAACTACACTGACCTATCTTCATTCCCTTCATCAAGTTTTTTACGGGCAGCATGATTTTTACAGATGTCCCTTTACAGACGTTTATGTCTGTGAGGGCCGAAGCCCGCAAAATTGAAGATGCCTCGGGGCATTCTTCATTTTTACAGACGATCTTCGAAAAAAATCTGTTTGTAAAAAAAATCTGCAATCAGTTGTACGCAAAAATATAAATCATCCCTTGAATATCGCATTTCACGACCTTTTTTTTAAGCACATCAATGTGCTTCAAAAAAAAGGTCGCAAAAGTCTACAATCTCGACCATTTCAATACTTTGACAAAACATGCCTTACAAACGTTTTTACATCTGTAAAAACTGGATTGCAAAAGTGGAGCCTAGAGGGCCAAAAGCGAATTTTCCAATTTACTTGTTGCAAACATTCTCCCAAATGCACCAAGAGAGCAGCAACTGGAGGGAAGAACACTTCCCAAAAGAAGCACAAACGAGGGACTTTTGAACCAAGCAAGGAGTGGGCCATCAGCCTCACCACCAAAGGATAGACACCATCGCCCAAAGAAGACACCCTACCTTTGGAAAGGGGTTAGTATGTCTTGGTTTCCAAGAAGCAAGCAGCCGCAAGGAGGCGATGGCCTTCAAAGGAGGCCCAGCTCTGTTGTACCTAGCCTCTTCCTTTGCCTGGTGTAACTTGATCGCTACCGGTCACTGAGGAATCACCCTCTTTTGACAACCCAAATTGACGTGATCATCAAATTGATCATGAGTACCAGCGACATGAACCCAAGTCAGTTGTTCAACTTCGATGCTTACTATCAGCCACCAGAAGACACTTTATCCAATCAAGCAAGTCCCTTAGAAGAATATCCTACCATCCCAGAAGAAGCACCCGGCTACGACGAAGAAGACCAACTGCTCCTTATTGTCCCCCCGGTTGCCGTCAACAAAGACCAAACACCAGAAACCCAGCTCACGATTAAGTCTAAGAAGGGGAAAATCGGGAAAAAGGGAAAGAAAACCTTTGCACTTCCACTGGACCGTCCCTCATTTACGAATTTCATTGATCATGATACGACCATTGATGAAGAAGGGTACCCAAAACTTCCCAATGGCCAGACGGTCTTTGTCAGGCAACCTGGCCAGAAGTTTGCGAATTGGAACACATTCACATTCACTTACACCACCTCCTGTCCCCCGAAAACCGCACGACATCCTGAGTGGCGAACGGTCAGGTACCACTGTCTTGGTGTGGTTCTTTGTGGCAATCTCGAGTGCAAGCACCGGGGCTCGCCACCGACTGCTGCAGTGAAGCTGGGAGAGTTGCAAAAAAAGTCAGTAACCAATCCCTTTTGTGTTTTTTGAGATTAAAAACTTATTACTCACCACCTCTCACACTGGTAATTGTTCTGCTAGTCCCGGGATATGCCCGGCCGCCATGTGCAACACGACCTCTCAACATATTCCTTGCAAAGACACCATATGCAGAGTGGACGAACATCTTCCGACTGGCTGGGCCATTGTGCGCCATTCTGGAGTGCATAATCACCCATGGCCACGTCGCAACAAGCCTGACAAATATTCTTTAGGCAAGTTTGCCGAAAGGGTAACAAACAACCCTGAAATGGGTCCGTTGCAACACAAGGTAGGCCTTCATCGCTTTCGTTATCAGTGTGTTTCTGACCCATACATAATACCAATCATAGGTCGGTAGAGCCCCAGCTGGGACGCAAGAGATCATAACCGCTTCTGGCTTTCACCCTGCGTTGGGTAATCTTCATCTGACGCTGGACTCATACCGGATAAGCACGTTCCCGGAGCAGGCGATAGTTTTCCTCTGGACATGATCCACTGGGCCAAGTGGGTCTTGACCTCAATTATTTCCCCCTTTTTCCTGTTCGGCAAGCTGTTAATGTTTTCTTTATGTTTGATCTCTTTAAGTATGGGCTTGAGGATGATTTCGTGCTCCTACATGAAGCACAAGATCCATAAGACTGTCCAAACCCAATGGATGGCGGCCCAGCTTCTGGCTCGGGAGAATGACGGCGGTGTTTATTGTGGAGGACTTTTATCAGACGTTACTTACAAGTTCTTTGCAAACGGATATCTCATGTCCACATTGATGTATCACGGCACATTGAATAGATGGATCCCAATACAACTCACCTGGCTATATGGACTCTCAGAAGACCATTACTACGCGCACTTCAAGACGTTAATGAAGCAGTTCAAGAGAGCTCAACTCCTCCCAGCGGAACGAGATATTCTGGTTCGACAAGTCGTTGATTTCTCTGCTGCCCAGAAAAACGGCTTCATCCGAGCGTATATGAAAGTTTTTGATGTCACCGATCGCAAGGAAGCACTTGACAAGCTCTGTGGCTGTCAGGAACACTTCAGAGCCCAGGTGATGAGGGTTGCAAAAAACCGAAACGTAGTTCCTAGTCATCTGAAGGTAAATTGAGTTTGATTTGGGTATATATACCTCTTGTTTGTGATTATTGACGTGTGATTCTCAAACAAAACTCATGATTTTGCAGGATAACTTTGTCAAGCTCACCGAAAAGCTCTTAGTTAAGGATCAGCCGGGTCAGAAGACCTATGAAGAAAACGCCCAAGAATTACGACGCCTATTTCCCGGCGCAAAACGATGGTTTGACTGGTGGCAAGCTTCCGACATCGAGGCCATGCTATTCCGATCGCGACAAAAACAGATTGACGATGATGGATTGTGCGATGATATGCCCGCAACCACAAACGCTCAAGAATCAATGCATCGGGTTTACTACATGATTTCGTAAGTAGTAAACCGGATATTCCCAGTTCAATTGTCAACGTGGAAGTGAACTAACGCCGTGGTTGTTCAGTCAATCCAGCTGTGCAATCCAGGTAGGATTAGTACAGCTGTATGCTCTGGTTACCAGCCTCGAAAGGGATCACGCTGACCTGCTTGCAGGTGCTACCATTGAATATGGATCAATGCGCAACTACGAGAAGGTGGCCACCACTCTTGGGTGGACCAAAAAGACTCGCGCGCGTAAAGACAGGCGCAACGATGGACGGCCACCAGATACCACCGAAGCTCTCCTGGGTACAAAAAAACTTGGCCGTCCCTTTGGTTCTGGCAATGTCGAACGCAACCCAGTAACGACATATCAAGGTTTCTACGCTTCCAAAACCGTCGGGCGTAAGAACCGGTGCTGGCTCGATTCAATGACTGAGTGCCTCCATGCCCTTCAGACTCCATTGTGGTTTCATGGAACCAATGGCAAATCAACCCATATATACGCGAAGGTCATGAAGGTGCTGTCTTCGCGTGCGACTTGGGAGATGACCAAGGCAGGCAGCATCAAGTCCATATTGTCCTTAGGACAAAATTCAATCCACAGCGCCCTCCAGGCCATCAGCAGTAGCTTTCCTCCCGACAAATTCGCTTCGGCTGACACATACTTCGACACAGTTTTTGACGTCACTGACAAGAGGCCGTCCCTTCCGGCTCCGGCGCAAACTCTCTTCCGACTGCATCGTAAGCGCAAGTTGGTATGTTCCCAAAACTCCACTCATCGATTGGAGGATCACATTCCGGCAAACACCATCAATATCACGCCCCACCATTTCCAGCCGCCATTGACTTATGGTCAAGCTTCCAAGGTCCTCGCACAATGGGCCTCTAGCACTGGGATTCGAAATATATCGAATCGACACTGCCAAAAATGTCCCAAAGACAACTCCGGTTCTCCTCCTTTCTTCGAGATGACTCAGCTATCCTTTGAACACTCGCCGGCTCCTCCTCACCTTCATATTCACTTGGATATATCATCCTTCTTGATGTCAGAAACAAAAAATCCTGAAATGGAGAAGATGATGGAGGAATGTAACTTACCTAAAGTTAGTCTCAAGAGGGGCATCAAATACTTCATGCGTGCTCGTGGTTATTGGGCTGGTGGTCACTTTTGGTGCAGGGTCATACGCACAGTTGGTGGACTTACAGGCGTATGGCATAACAATGACCTGCAAAACGCTGGGGTTGCCACGTTGGTAAGCCAAGAGCTGGAATCTCTTGGCGGGGCTTCTCCAAACACAAGCTGGGTAATGTATTCGCGAGAGCCAACATGTGAAGAACAAATAATCATTGACGAGGCGAACGCAAAGATCAGCAAGTCCCATCCAGAAATCCCTGGAGACATTCCCTTCTCGCAATCTCAAAAAAAAAACCCTTCACGACGCAAAGCTAAACTGACCCAGGAGCTCACCGCCGAGGAAAGAGCCCTTGATGACTTTGATGACTCGGATGTGAACAAAGGAGATCAAGCCGTGGGTAAGTAATTCATATGCTTTCATTGTAATCAATGCAAGAAATTGACTACATGGCATTTCAAGCTCCAGGGCTCCTCGAGCTCAGTACCACAGAAATGGATGACTTGTTTGCCTACGATAGTGAGGGGGATGCTCTCCCCAAACCGCTCTCACCTCGCCAATGGGACGACATATTTGCGTCAGATTCCGAGCCAGGACACGTCAAAACTTCACAAGGTATGCTTATTTGGCTTCAAACTCCATGGATCAAAGGGTATCAATGTTCCGCATTGTAGGTACAAAGATCAAACCCAACACGCTCTCACCGGGGCCTTTGGACAACATACCTGCCTCTGATTCAGAGGCAGGTCAGGTCAAGCATTCCCAGGGTATGCTTCTTTATTTCCTTCAACGGTGACACATATTCAATGATTTTTTGTACATTTTAGGCAACCAAGTGAAGACCAAACCGGTGCCAGAGTCACAGGTAGGAATGGAGGTAATGACCACCGAGAAACTGGTCCGGAAGAAAGGTGAGCCATTGCCTATCTTCCATTCCGTTACTAAACAATATTAATGTTTTTCCTTTGTCCTCAACAGCCATATGCAAAGGCAAAACCAAAAGCCAAAAAGCATGAGGTTGTATCCAAACGTCCAGTTCAAGACTCTAAATCAAAACCCAAAAAACTCAGAGGTTGGAAAGGGTATGCAATGGTAGAAGAGGAGCCTGTAGATCAAGAGGTGGTGGTGGAATCACCTATGGTGGAGGAGGAGGCTGAGCAAGGCAGATTGCGGGTGTCAAAGCGTAAGAGATAAAGAGGTGTCTTTATCTCTTCTATGCTCCTCTTTTATTATTCTATCCTTTATCTTTATCTCTATGTTGTTTTTTCATCATTAGTACCCCGTTTTAATAGTAATTAATTGGGTGTGTGATTTTTCCGAACAACATTTTCTGAATGATGACAAGTGGATAAGATGAACTTACCAGATGTGAATGACGCAACAAGCAAGCAAGCTAGAGATGGTCGGAGAGATTGGTCAAAAATAAGACACCGTTAGAGAACAAATTGAAGGATCATGTCGTGATTTAAGAACCATTCCTCAAAGATTACCATTAGTTCAATCCAGACTTGACTGATAAGAAAGAAGAGAATGAATAAGAAGAGAAACAGTTCAGTATTGTATGATTGAACAGAATAAGATAAGCTCAACCAAACGCTGGGGACCCAAGCAGCAAGATGGCTCAAGTGGATGATCACGCTTGTTTGGTTGAGCTTAAAAAAAGTGACTAAACTGACTTGATTGACAGAGGGTTGAATCTCTATTTTGAACGTGAGCAGTCGGTCGTATTGTGGTTTTCAAGAGGTTCGGAAAATTTGATTGATTCGGAAAAGTCGGTATTTGCATTGTAAGGTTTCAAATTTCCGAAGACTGGTTTACAAACTTTTTGAACGTCTGTAAAATGATATTCGGAAAAGTTAATATCGTTTGGAGTTAATATACTTTTCTGAACAATAGTTTTTACGGTCTTTATGCCTCGGTTGCTTTTGCTCGGAAAAGTCAACATTTTGGGGCTTCCAAAGTTATGTACTTTTCCGAACAATATTTTCCAAAGCTTTTTTTTGCGAACAACTCAAAATTTCAAAATTTTGGAAAACTACATCAAGTCCCAGGCCACATAGACTTTTCCAAACAATCATTTTTCCAAACATCATCATTCGGAAAATGTTGTTTGCAAAAATCTACGATCCTGTAATTAATTACATTTTCGAACGTTTATTCTGGGCCCAAACACACGTGACAAACTATAAGTAGTGGGAGTATAAGAGTTTTATTTGTGAAACGGTGGCATGACGTGGATTGGAGAGGAAGAGGGAGGTGGATAGACTCACGGGTTCGACGATATCTTACTAATATATCTAATCACTCGAAAATCTCCAAACGAGGAATGCCTGAGATGAGTGGTTTGCAAATCATCGTTTGCAAAATTCAATTTACAGTAGATTTCAAAAGGCTTGAAATCTGAGGAATCGAAAAATCGAGAGCTGGCCCGTGCGAGGCGCAGCACCGGGCCAAAAAAAAACTGGCCGGGCTGTCAAATAGCCCATCTCGAACGTCCCACTCTCGAATACGACATTCACTAAGCTGCCAATCCTCCACGACTTTCAAGAAGGTCGACAATTTCTCTTACGACTTTTACGAACCCAGATGAGAACGACATCGATGGCTCGTTGGGGTGGGGACCCACCCCAATTCGACTCTGGCCACATTCAAATATGTCGTTGGTTTTGTGGATCAAGCTCTTTCCTGATCGCATCAGACATCGCTTTCACTCTTACCTCCAAATCAATCCAAAAGCCAATCTTTATCATCTCTTCAGCGTTAAATAATCCTTACCGATTTCTCTTAAAAATGGCCAAAACTCCGTCTCGTTCTCAAGGGTCTCAAAGACCTACTCGCCAAAACAATGCGTCAGTTTGTTCGGTTTCAAAGGGTACGATTGCCACACCTTACTGATTAAATATTTCCTGTGCAGCATCACTGATCAACCCGAGGAACCCGAACCACATTTGGATATGGCGGAAAGACAACGCCTGCTTCAACCACTCGATTTCAACGATATCATCGATCTAAACGCCGGCGGAAGCAATACCACCTCCGGAATCGGAACCCGAGATCTGAGCGTTGAGTTTGATTATAGCCATTCTTCTCCGGAAAGAGCAATTTGTAAGTAATCATCAAATGTGTCATTCTTGTCCTGAGCTGACATCTCTGCTTTCATAGCTGGTTTGCCAAAGCCCGAAATACCAACTGGTAAGCACCGTTATTTATTTGTTTGGGTCATTGTGCTGACTTACCCTTCTAGTTGCTTTACCTGAAGTGTTGAAGCAGAATCTTCATCAGCTCACCGTCACTTTTGGGTTGTATACCCCCGAGGCAACCACTGGCCCGATCAAGGCCAACCATAAGACGAAGTGGATTCAACACCGATTCCCGGTAACTAAGCAACAATTCGACCTTTCGAAGACTTCTCTTGAGCAATTGAAATTGTACTTATTCACCATCGCCGACAAGATCTGTGATGATCCAGCTGGAGGTATGAGCGCTTTATTCAAAACGGCAGATGCCGAGAAGTTACTTTCGGTTGGTGTGTATGTTTTCAACCACCCTGTCTATGGGAAGGGTAAAGAACGGGTGGTCACCACCGATAAAGAGCTCGAGGAGTTTTATAAAGCGGTCAATGATGCACCAACTCAAGACGCTGGGATCAGCTTGTCTATTGATCATCCTGGCAAAGCAGCCCAACAGGTTCTTGGTGTAAGTGTCTTGACTTCCCTGCCTGGTCCGTATCTGGGTTTTTGTTAATGGTTTTCCCTTTCCCCTCAGGACCGCTCCTTGGCCCACGCTAAATTGAAAGCCACCAACTTAGTGAACAACGGACGACCCACTCCTGAGGATGAGCTGGCCCATTCCGATCCGGTCCCAAAGCGCAAACTTGCGCTTAACGAGCTGGTGACTCACCATCAGAAAAAGGGCAATAATGCATCCGAGGGTTATCGCATTGTCAACCCCGACAACAACTCCTTGATCATGAATTTGTCCTTTGAACATATGATCAAGTGGGCAAAGTGTTTAGTATGTCTTTCTTTTGCTTATTTCTTTCTCTTCCATTATTACGCTTCTTGAAAAGTCAGCATGCTAACTGATATCTTCATATGTTGCGTTCATTTGGGTCCAGGCCAAGGGAATGGCCAATGTGACCCTTGACATCCCTCCGAAAGGGCTTCCCGGTTTCAAGTGGCAGACTGTCAAACGTAGCCTGGCCCTTACCGCCCCTATGTTCTCTGCAAAGCGTATCAAGAAGGTCACTACCTCTGAGGTTACTCCTAACACCACCTGGGGTTACGCGGAGATGCAGGGTGTCACCATCGACGTCGATCTTGAAGAGGCCAATTGACTTGCCCAGTTCTCGACTCTTAACGACTACATCGCTTTTGCTGGGGTGCCACAACACGAAGTCGAAGAAGTGATCGAAATTTTGGAAGAAAATAACATTGAGAGTTTTTATGCTTTCTTATTCCCTGATACTTTCAACGCGCGCGACATGGAGCGCTGGACCATCCGATTTGGCACTGGCCTTAGATTAATGGAACATGCTCGACGTTACTACCTTCGTCTAGTCAATTTGGAAGAAGCCCGCCTCCGTCGCGAACCTATCATTGTCAGTGACTCGGACACTGACGACTGCTGCGATGTCAAGGTGATGCCCAAAAAAAAGAAATGAATTGTGTCTTCTTATTCCCACTCAATCAGATTCAATACGTCGCTAACCGATTTAGCTAGTCTAATTTGTATTAGTTTGAAAATTTGATTGATTTATAAAAATCGTATTGTTGTCTCTATCTTCTCTTATCGTGATTGTCTTTCCACTCATTAAGAATTCAATACGTGGCTACACAAATATATTACTGAATTGTATTTGTCCTAGTTTTATAATTCTTTTTGTTTTAAAAAATCGTATTCTCTCCAAAATCGTCCTATTAGTGATTACTGCTGACTTAGTTCTTGTCCAGCTATAGTATTGTGATTGTATCTTGTTGTCAAGCCCTGCCGTCTGTGTCTGAAATCCATCCTCAATGTTTGCTGTTCCAAACCTTCGCGCCCAGAGTGAGGTCAAACGACCAACCTTTGGTCGTTCTTCTCAGGCGAAAAAGCCTGAAGGAAATTTATAGCATTATAAGTTGGAAACTTATAATAGCATTATAAGTGTCCAACTTATAACGCTACTGCCTTTCGGCCTAGGCCAAACAATCGCTCCCACTTAGCGCCATTTCGCTTGCCCTTTTTTTTTGGGCGAGAAGGACAACGTAAAACTCATCATTTTAGGAGGTCAAACTCATAAAATTATGAGTTTGAAGGTCATGCTTAGTGTCCACCATGATCTTGCAGATCATGGTGGACACTTTTGCTTAGCAAAGGCATCAAGGTAAGCACGAGTTTGATTGCCAAGATGGATGTCGGAAGCTAGTTAACGCTGCAAGCGTTAACTAACTGAAGGAACCTCCAGTAGAATTTTTACGCGATCGAATTTATCGTGGACTCAATTGGAGACAAAATGACCTTTGATTTCAAACATATAAAGATTCGCGCACATTTGGAATAGCTTACTGGAGGACTTTGACATGTTTTTGGAGCAACTGCAAACATATTGTAAAACAATGAAGTTCTACACACGAGTTGGAAAAGCTTGCAGATAATCGATTGTTAACAAGTTGGGTGATTGTTGGATTACAAAATGAGCCAGACAAAAAGGGCTTGGATAACGAAAAGAAGCCCACTGAGCCAAAAGAAAAACGGGCAATTTCGCCTACTCATCCTCATCCTCATCAAAGCGTAAGTTATACCGATGCCAATAGTCGCAAGTGGTGTAGCCACTATGTGAAATTAGAGGTTGCAACAATTGGCGAGTCATCACTCGTGCCGCTAGTAAAAGAAGATACTCGGACTTGTCCCCTTCAAACAACCATCAACCTTCTCTTTTCAACCGGCACTTTGTACAGTGGAACGCATTTTCGATCGGGTTCATGTCGGGTGAATAAGCTGGCAAGTAGATCACCAGGACTCCAGCTTTTTGACAAAGCTCGAGGATTTTCCCACCGTGGTGAACCCGAGCGTTGTCCATGATAAGAACCAAGTTTTCAGCTGGATAAGGGTTCATTACTGGCAGCTAGGAAATCAATCAAAACAAAATCAGACCCATGAGGAAAGAACAACATCAAAAACCAAGACGTACCAAGTCATGCTTGAGAAACAACTCGACATCAATCCTGCGGACAGGACCTTCTAAGACGGTTCCAGCTATCATCCCCTGCTGGCTCACCGCCGGTAGCAATGTCCAATGTGAACGTTCAGTATACCGTTTTTCGCGAGCCGTTTGAGAACCATGTTTTGCGTAACTCCGTTTGCAAGAGGCGTCGCGGCCAACCACACCACTTTCATCTGAATTCGATCCGGTATTAGTATCATGTGCCTGTGTCCAGATAACGGAAGGACAACTTACCAATGAAAACTAGGCATTCTGGAGGAATGCCGGCGACCCGAAACATAAAATCCGTCCTTTCCTGAAGGGACTGATTGGGATGAACACCTCGGGTAATCAAGAGAGACATTCCTAATCGATTGTGGATTTCCCGTGTGATGGTTGCACGAGATACGTCTAAGCCAGTCAAGTTCAGGAGCTCGCGTTGCAACTCGTCCAAAAAGATTGAGGGGCGATCAGTCACAAGGTCGTAGAGGATGGCGAGATTCTCGTCTGACAAAGCATGCGGCCGGCCGATAGGCTGGTATGTTGCCGGATCCTTGATGACCCGGTTGGTGAGAAGAAAAAGTTGTTTCCATCGATAGATCGAAATCGGCGATATTGAAGTTCGTAAGCGCAAGTTTATTTCGGCGAGCGGGAGATTCTCCACCGCCAAATGAGTAGCGAGGAGCTTGATTTGCTCCGAGTAAAGGATGAAACCCATATTGAGGGTTGAACGCAAGGTGGGAATGGATGGGATGAAACAAAAGCGAGTGGGTTACGGAATGCTGAGCTTTCGGCGTTGGGAGGGGGAGGGAGACACCGAAACGGTGGAAATAGGGTTCACCCCAACCCCCCAACCAGAAAAACCAAACTCAAACAAAGTTGATAAAAAAAGATTTACCAACAAGATGCACGATGTACTGCAGATCATCGAAGGCGAGATGGGCTATTGGACAGCCCGGCCAGTTTTTTTTTGGCCCGGTGCTGCGCCTCGCACGGGCCAGCTCTCGATTTTTTGATTCCTCAGATTTCAAGCCTTTTGAAATCTACTGTATAATCTACCCCGACCAGATTCGCGAACTTATTTTTTAACAGAGTTAAACGTCTGTAACTGTCAAGTTGTGAAAGTCACGATTATGGGTGCTTTTTTGACTTTTACGGAGGAGTTATTATTACAAATCATGATGTCTGCAAGATTTTTCAAATATAGACTGCAATTTTATACAATACAAATCGAGCCATGGAAATTTGCAGACATCTTCTTACAGTTGTTTTCTTTGCGATCTTTTGAAAATTGAAAACGATTGCAAAATTAAAGCATTCCCCACAAATCTCGACTTTTGCGGACTTCACAAATTACAGACAATAATGTCTGCAAATGGTTGTTTGTAAAAATCTCGGACCCGGTTTTTTACCCACACTATGTCTTGTCCTCCTGCATATGCTGATCTATATTCAGCCTCAGTAGTTGACATTGCTACACTCTGTTGCTTGTTACTCATCAGGTTAACAGTAATATCTCCTAACCTAGTCACATGTCCTCCTGTCAAACACCTGCTAACAGGACAAGATGCAAAATCAGCATCTGCAAACACATTCAATTCCAAATTTTTACCCCCTAAAACTAATCCCAAATCTTGTTTTCCCTGCAAAAACCAAAGCACCCTCTTGAATGTGATCCAATGTACAATTGATAGTTCATTGAGAGGTTGCAAAAGTTGTGATACAACAAAAGACAAATCTGGTTGAGTTGCGTTCTTTAGATACATACATTTTCCAACAGTGTGTCAATAACTTACACCTAAGTCCAGAAATTCTTGATTCTCTTTTGTAGATCCTGGAACTAAGTAAGTGTTGAGAATCAAAGGTCAACCCATGGGTTTTCAGTCAGTCATTCCGTAGTCCTCACATAGATCACAAATATATTGCTGCTTAGATAACATGATTGTTCTAGCTTGTCAATTTATAGTGACTTTCATTCCCGGGATGTATTTGAAATCTGTGTTTTTGTCCATTTGAAATTTCTTTGTAATGGCCAAAGGGAAGTGTTTGAAGTCATCTGTGGCAATTACCATGTCATTGACTTGGACATGGACAATATATTTCCATCCTGGATTGTGATAAATGAATACAGTAGTCTAGGGTCTTGAGGTGAAGGAAGAAGTGAGATTGTTGCAAAGAATACCTTCATGTTAAAGTTTTGAGTTCGGAGCTTGTTTCAAACCATATAAATCCTGCTTGAGTTCAAGAACTGTTCCAGGTGTTGCATCCTTGATGTCCATGCCTTTCAAAATTCTCATGATTATCCTTTTTTCCGGCAAAGCGTTCAAGAAAACCACAACTGTATCCTTTTGGTACACATCAAGATTGTCTGTGACTGCCTCTGCACAAATACTTTATAGATAAGCAACTCTAGCAGTGGGAGCATATGTCTCATTTTAGTCTTCTCCAAATACTTGAGAGAATCCTTGTGCACACAGCCAAGCCTTATCTAAATATTGCAATGTTGCAAGGTATACTTGTGTCAGTCAAGTTTTGTTACCTGTTGCTTGGTCCAATTCTTTTGATTCTGACGTTCAGTTTGTTTCTCTTATACACCCATCCATTCCACATATTCTTTTGTGAAGGTGTGCTTTTATTCTTTTCTATAATTCTTTGTTGATTCACATCTAAAATATAAAAACGTACAAGCGACTTGTATGAAGTACTATTTAGTCCCTTTGCTCCAGTCCTCTTTCCCCCAGGTCAGCTTTCATGCTTTTTGGATGTTTCACTTTGAGCGTGATTGCATCATGTTGCCTTTCTTAGTGTTACATGTGCTTTTCTAACGGTTCACATTCACCCAGGTGCTTCTTCAGTTTTTGAATGTTTCAGTTCTATTGTGATAGTACCATGCCATCTTCCTTAGTGTTTCCAGTATGTAATTGCATTATCCTGTGCCATTATACTTTGTTAGTGCACACCTGTGCTTTAATCTTCACTTTCCAATTCTGCTTCTTTCTGATGTTTTCTTTTTTTCTAGTTCAATTGTGCAATCGCATTTCCTTTGTTTGGGTAACCTTTCATACTTTTATCTGAAATATCTGAAATAATTGATCCCAATATTTGTGCCAGCGATGCTGTTGTTTGTCTTCCCTGCAAGGCTTGAGAGCAAGCTTTTCAGATCTTGACACCATATGTCATGTTTGAAGCCCGCTATACATTTTTTTTATTATATAAAAAGGTACCATCTCGCACCCATTTTGATTTCCTCAACCCTCCTAGCATATTTTCCCACCTCAAAGCTAATCCTATAGCTCTATCTTGTATCCAATCTGTTAAGGCCCTGTACATTTCCTATTTTACTCTTTTTTTCTGGCCCCTTCTTCAAAGAACTACACTGTAATCCATCTTCTATCTGGATTATTTGTACCCGCCTACATTTGCTTCAATCTCTCACCAACCCTACAACCTCAATTTCTCACCAAGCCTACAACCTGTAGCTGTATTCAATCTCTGTCTTTTGTTATCTTTCCGGTTACCTTCTATTCTTGTATGTAAAAGCCAGAGGAATGAGGGGAAAAAGTAAAGGCATGATTTAAAATCAGTGTGCAATGCTTTTTGAATTGTGTATTGATTGGATCAGGTAGGAAGGTGGGAAAATATTACTCTTGATGATCAAGGCTCTAGGAAAGTCACTTTGGGTGGTCAAGCCTTATCCGTTTTTATCTATTGGGAATGCTCACAAAAAGGCCAGCCTCCATATGGCCAGGACATTTATAAGCACCAATGTCCTCCAAGCCCACATGTCCCTTGAATTTGTTGAGGACTGCAAGTTCAAACACTGAGA